CAGTCAATAATGTATTCAATGCGACGATAGAGAATGAAGGATGGAGAGGATTGGAAAAAGATTGTGAAGGAGGACAAGGTCCATCTCGGACTGTAGAGCCCGTCAGTAATAAGTAATGTAGTTCACTAAGTTCGCTGATGTTTCAACCCAAGCATTTGGGTCATCATAAGGGCTACAAAGTAAAAACTGTTTTTAACTTTATGTATTTATTTTCAATTTTATTTATTAATTCTAAAAAATATTATTTAATTTTTATTCCTCATGGTCGGATCAAAACATCGGCAAACTTAATAAACACCATTGTTGACAGCATTTCTTGACAATCTTTCCTCCTTATAATTCTTAATGTCAAGGCAGATAAACAAGCATTCTAATTAACTAGTCTATATCCATTGCCTTATCTTAGACATGTCATTCACAAGATTCTAGTCATTTCCAATACATGCTCCCAGGTCCTCAGTAAAACTTGCATCAAAACAAAGAACTGATATGCCAAGTCCAATGACATCTTTCAAGATATCATTCATTCAATAAACTGATATTTACAAAAAAACCAATTCCAAACAGAAAAGACAAGCAGCATTAGCCATTTTTCATATATGAAGGAAAAACAGGCAAAGGAGAACCATACTTTACAAAGAAAAATCAAAATTTTAGAGAAACATTCATCATACATATCAATATACAAGACCTAAGAATGAGGAATTGATAAAAAACATGAAAGTGCCATAAAAAACAATCAGTCATTTTTTGAAAAGATTTTATACAAATGAGATTCATTCACTAGGCCTCTCTCACCTGAATTTGATTCTTCATCTGAAACATCGGTACTATTACCTGTATCCGATGTTTCAGTACTGAGAGAGTCTACATCATCATCATGATCATCATCGTCAGATTCTGTATGAAACAGCAAATATAAATATTCCTTGAAGAAATAACAATTCATGTATATTTATACATACTAACACACAATAATATCATGTATTATCAAGCATTATTCACCTAAATTAGTCAGAGAAGTTATATTTTTTCCACATTCACAAAGAGGATCAATGAATATCAATAAAATTAATTTTTACAAAATCAAAAAAAAAATACTATACATTAAATCCAGAACTCTGATTATATTAACAATTATGAATAAGTTAAAGTTAGTACATAATTAAAAAAAGGTAGCATTATATGAGCCTTTCAGTCGAAAGAATGACAAAACTCCAATATCAACATTTTTTATTATTTTTAGTGATATTTCTAGGGTGAAAATTTATACCTTTATTCACAGTTCTATATTTCAACACTGCAATCACCTACTCTAGAATCAACTTACTCACTGTCTGTACAAATATTATAAATTTTTCTACTAGAAATATCACTAAAATGACTATACTCAAAAATGTTGAAATGGCCAACCGAAAGGCTCATATAATCCTTACAGTGGAAATGAATCTAGCAAGCTATAAGCAAGAAGTCTGTAGTAAAAATATATTCTATAGCAGTGGATATTATATGAAACAGATTATAAATAAGATCTCACCACTAAAGCAATAAAAAAATAAAATCGGAAAAAATAAATGAATTTTAATGGTGGAGATATGGTTGAGCGAAAAATTAACTGCAGAAGTTTTTCAAGGTGTATTCAGTAAATAAAAAATACTAAAGTAATTAAATATATATATTTCATACTTGTAGGTTAGGTTAAGTTAGGATGACAAGGACAATTTAGTCCAATTGTTTTAAATATTTTTTTTTAAATAAGTATTTTTTTTTTTTTTTGGGTCCTCCCCTTCCTCACTGTCAAGGCTATACGGGGTTTTCCGGGCCAGGAAGTGTGGGCGGGGATTTATAAGACTCCCTCGGCACCGGGACGCTAACTCGTGACTATTTTTATATCATTTGATTGATATATCAGGTTGCCGGGCAATGACGGTGCTGTGCACACGCGTTAGCCCATTCGGGCACCCCGCCCTTTTAAACAGGTATGTGGTTATAAGCATAAAATTATAATAATTAATGGAAAAATACAATTAGACTATGATAAATTTTTTATCTGTTAAAGGTTTCATCCCTTGAAAATGGCCTAAGAGCTAAAACATCCGTGGAAACAATTAAAATAAAGTAGGACTGTTGTGATCAATATGAGTGTTTTTATTATTATACTAAAGTAAATTAATATATTTTAATGTGTGTAGTAACCTTCCAGTAAAAGTTTTAGGCAGTCATCAGGGCTAAACAAAAACTTTATCAAAAATTACAGATGTATTGGACTGTTTTCGCAGGCTCAGTACGGTATTTTGGTGTCCCTGCAAGCCCCACATCAGGTTCTGGACTGTTGTTCGCTGCTCTAACAAGCCTGGAACCTGATCTAAGGAGTCAAATTTTTGATTTGAACCAATCAGTTTTTCAAGACATGTACTAATAGTCCCAGACATGTGCAAACCAAAGGGGTGAGAGTAAGACTTCAAAGCAGTAAGAGTCTACTGTCAACAATTTTTAATTGTTAAGCCAGTCTGAAATCTAATAATATTAAAGGAAGGTATATAATTTTTTCACTTCAAAATTAAACATTTGAATTAAAATTTATTAAAATCTCTTTCAAAAAAATAAAAACCTTTCATTCCTTTACTATCTTTATTTAATAGTAATATTGACCTCAAGTATTGAAATATGAAATTTTTTAAGATAGGGTCTATAATATAATATAATTAGAAAAGTTGAGTCAAGGTCTAGACTCCTTAGCAATGGCCTTTTCAATAAAACAACAAAACAAAATATTTATTAAAACTACTGACAACATTAGTAGTAATGATGTAATTAGCTATACGTTTAGTAAATTGCAAACTTTATAAAATAATTGTCTATCATTTAATGTGTGGTTATACAGATGATGGCATTAAAATATTTCAGATGGAGATTCATGATCAAAATCTTATTATTTTTATATAAAGACAATTAAGGAGTTTAAACGAAAGATCTTTTTGCTTAACAATTTAATAATAACCATTAACCTTTAATTGTGATAAGAAAAAAACAAATCAAATTAACTGCAATTTATATTTAACATCTTATCTAATTTCTTTTTTAGATAGATTGGTTATTATATACCTACCAACCTCAATCAATACGATTTAACGCTGTAGATTCCTGCGATAAGGAAATCGCACAGTCAATGAAGGTTACACAAGACAAAGAAGAAACATAAGAAAACCATGAAACTAACAATGAGTACAACTGAATGAAAAGATAGACTACCTGAATAAAAAATTGGAAATATAAAATGGAAATTTTTCAATTTTCAAATGGAATGGGTTAATTAGGGAGGGAAATGAGATATTGATAAAATACATGCATTTATGCATGTGGAAGGAGGATAGTTAAGTTTTTGTTTTTAACTAATCTTGAATAATTTGATTACCTATTTTTATTAAGTTTTATACATCAGGTCACTGAATGGTTCGCTTCTGATTTGTTAATGTTTCTTGTCATTTAATAACTGTTTTATATTTTGTATTGCAAGCTATTGACATTACGATTTTTTTTTCTATTTTGGAAAATAATAAACTATACATCCTACCAGAATGAAATTGGGAAGAAGAAGAAAAACCAATAAACCATTGTATAGCTGAACGATCACTCTATTACTATAGTAACTTGAACCATGAAACTTAAAAATTGGTCAAGCTATTTGTTCAATAAAATACCTTCTAGTGAATAGATTAAAATTGTTTTATAAAATAATTGGTTCGAGTTTTGAGCCCAAATTGTTTCAAAACACTCAAGGGATCTCTTGACTTCAGAGCTATACATTAGTTGAAAATTCAATATTAATTTAATAAATAAGAGCATTCATTCATAAGATTATGTGAAAATATTCCCATTCCTTCTGTAAATAGTAAATAGACTTCCCATTACTTCTAAAGGTGTAAACACAATCCTAAACTTCATTTTTTTTTCCACCTTCAACCAACTTTTCCAATCTACAGACTCCTTCTCTAAGGAACTCTCTTCAGACTGATTGTTCTATCCAAAAATATTTTCCTCACTTTTTTCCTAGGCTTTCCTCTTGGTAGAATTTTTGTTCTAGGATGGGACTACCTCTTATACCTCTTCTGTAGAATTTTGAAGAGTTCTGGTTCCTTTTGATCTTTTAACTAGGTTGTTTATCTTTATGGCTCCCTAAGTGGATTGAGGGAAAGACGCTTATCTGTCATCTGTAAATCATGTACTAGAGAGTTCTACCACCCAAGTAAACAAGAACCATGTTTGCCAGCAATATTGTGTGGCAATATTAAATTTTTTCAGCACTAGAGTGACTCTATTCAATGTTATTTCATGCAATATATTTCAATTCTTATATCCGAATTCCAGATAAATAGTAATACCATTTCAGCCTTTTTGTTTCATAATAGATAGTAATGGAGGATAATCAAAATGGTTAACCTAACCTGTTTTATAATTGACCATAATGGAGTGCAAGAAATAACACCTAGGGGACAGATGGGACTACAATTTACACAATTGTTAAAAATGTTGAAGTTGGCAACTGTATTTCTTTATTCAAGTTCAGTACTTACATAATATTAGACTATTTTATATTCTTTGAAGATCAGGTTCTTTACCAATGACAGTCTCTGTATAAATTATTTTATTTTACACTTAAAATATAAGAAAGTTTTGGTGTACCTGCTCTATAATTATAACACATATTAATAAAATTAACAATTTATTTCTATCATATATAATGTTTCTTTTACATCCAGGTTCTGTTCTATTAGTGCTTTAATATTGAAATGTCGATTATTACTCTTTAAAAAAAAAAATAAAGTAAATATAATTTATTTTCATTACAATCAGAAAAAGAATAATAAGCTTTTAATTTTAAAGTTATACGATTCATCTTCCATTATTTTCAGAAAAACTTAAAACCAAGAATTATTAAAATTTCAAAATCCAATATTTTAAAAATAAAACAAAAGCAAACTGATTCAAAGGTAACTTACCAACGCTACTTTGCATTTCATGTTTTGTAGGAGATTCAGGACCAGCTGACTGGGGATGAATTTTAAGCTCAACTTTTTGAACTGAAGGAACTTTATCAGAGGAAGAATTTTCATTTTCATCTTCTTTGTCACTACCTTTAGATTCCAAACCATCTGAGATCAAGGGTTTTTGGATAGTTGGGCTAAAAAATAAATAAATAATAATATATATTATATTATATAAATACACATACTAAGGGTAACCCCTCCTCCTGTCCGCCTAACGGTGGACCGACCCCCATTTTACAAATTATAAAACTGTTCATTTACATTTAATTGTATTACTCATTGCTCAAATTGTATAACTATAATTTACATGTATTTTGTAGTTTATATTGTATTATTTTTTATCAACATAAAATAAATGCAATGAAACCACAGTTGGGACAAATTTATAATTTCTTTAAAAATAAATATTACACATTGTGCCTTATTGCCTATTTATATTATGATATAATTACAATTATTGTTATTGCCAATTTTTAATCATAATAAGGGAGAAATAGTTCTGCGAATAAGAAGTGTGGTGTCTTCGTTACGGTCCGTCTCGTTTTGAGATTTTTCATACAAAATAAAATATTACACGGACATCACTAAAAACTTTTTCATATAATATCTATATAAACACACACACACATAAAAATGAATAATAAACATAGAGGGCGCGCTCGGGTTTCTTACGCAGTTATCAGCCTCCATTACCAACCTCATTACCCTGAGCTCAGGCAATTCGCGGTTCTTCATTGCCATCCTTAACTAATTCATTAGTTAATAATGATTTTTTTAAACAAAACAAAATTAAAGGTACTTTAGAAGAAGAAATTATGAAAAATCAGTGTGTAAGCCATATCAGATATTCCGTGGTACAGAGCATTTTTTTTTATTAAATTATTAACATCTGCCTGAAACTTTGTGAATAGCTTTATCTCATCCTAACCTACAATTGTTTTATTGACAAAAATTCTCGGAATCGGGGCGTTTTTAATCTGAAGATCGGCAAACTTTGTCTATTTAATTAGGTACATTACCCATAGGTACATACCCATTTGCTTTCCACTTTAATCATAAGATAATTTCATCAGAAAGTCGAGAAAAAATGTGGAATACAAAAATATAGAGCTGGTTGGTGTGGCCTCCACTCCTCACACATCAAAATATCGAGGATATATAGGACAAAAGATCAAATATTTTTGCCAAAATAATTAATAAGTACAATCAATATTAACAATGATGTAGAGATGGTTGACCGTTGATATAATATGAGAAGGAGTTAGTCGGGAGTGCGGTCAAATAAATACTAAATTAAAATATATTAATTATTTTATTTTAATTTTGCCGACGTTTCGACCCACTTTGCAGGTCGTCTTCAGGGCTACAAAAGATACAAAACATGTTGAGAATAAAATTAAATATAAGTAGATATAAAATAAGAAGGTTTCAGATACAGAAATAAAAGATGATATCAGAGATAGAGTGGGTGACAATGTAGTTAAATATTGTCGAAACGTCGGCAAAATTAAAATAAAATAATTACTATATTTTAATTTAGTATTTATTTGACCGCACTCCCGACTAACTCCTTCTCAATCAATATTAACAATTCTGTAATTTAAACCACTTTTTAGGCTGTTTGAAATAGTATATAATTACATAAAATTTTATAACTAATTTTTTTTGGTTTGGCACTAAGTTCATTAATGATGTGTTTATTGTTCATATCAGAAAAACAAGAAAGCAGATTCACTTACTTATTATTTTTGCAATTTCTATGAATGATAAACAATTTTTGTTTCATAGATTATATAGTTTACTTGTATGTGCAGAGCGAAGATATAACAAATAATTTTTGTATTTTGCTTGAGCTCGAAACAGTAAGGAAAGTTGTGTAAGTGGACAAACCAAAACGTTTGAAATTTAGTTAATGTTTTTTAATTAAATATATTACCTGATTCATTTTTTATTTTTACTTTTATTACTATTAGAAATATTCATTTGACATCATCTTAATTACTTTTACTAAGTAATTTCTAAGGAACACATACAGCCCACACTAGATATTACGTTACTATTTACTAAGTAAAATTCTTTTACTAAATGACATACGGCCTGTTGGCCAACACTACTTCTTCAGGATATGAGCAGTTAATATGCCTTAATCTGATATTCAAAGGCATATATTTAAAAAATCTTTTGTAAATTTTTGATAATACTGTTGAATAATCAATATTTTAATTAACATAATAATGAAATATGCTAGGTTTTCTTTATAGTAGAGTATATATTTCATTCATCTGCTAAAAATGATATTTTTGAAACATTCAGGGGAAAGGATAGTTTTTAGAATTTAATTAATAAATAAATAAATAAAAAAGAAATACCGTAATAACATACAATTATCGATAGTCAATTTTGCTGTCATCACTATAATATTCAGTGGTAGTCAATGTATTTGAGAAGGAATTCATGCTAAATAATAATAGTAATAAGTTTAGAAGGGGATGGACTGTTGAATAAAACTTTTAAACAAATGTCTTTGAATGTCATATTACCTTAGCTGGATGTATTAAATCTTTGTGTGTACTAATATTGTTAAATGTAAGTGATAAAAGCTATGCTAATCTTTAATCTATTAAAATCTGAAACAAATATATGGTCAGCTAATTTATATGATATGGTAGTGTAGATTCCAGTAGCATGTTTTTCAAGAGCACTTAATTTACTTATATATGGTGTCTTCAAGGATCGATAAACACTTTTAATTTTACTATTTATTTAAGTTATAAAAACGTTTCGAGCTACTTTGTTCATTTTCAAGGAGATGAAGAATGATGGTTTTTTTGTATTGTGGACTAAATATAAATAACAATAAAATTATATAATAGACATTTGTTTGGAATTTATAGAAATTTCAATAACTTAAAAATAGCTCGAATAAAAAAAAGTAGTTCGCAATATTGTTATAACTTAAACAAATAGAAAAATTATAAGGGCTTATAGATCCTTGAAGACAACATGCATAGTGGAATTCCTTTTCCTGCACTCAGGAGCGATTGATTTTGACTAATGAAGTGCCAAAAGAATGAGAATTTCATACAGAAGTGACAAATCTCAACCTTGATCCTTAAATTTTAACTTTAACTGTAATAAGTCATTGAAAAAGTAAGTGATTACAAAACTCAGATGTTGGTAAGTCAACAGATTGAGACAAGGCAAATTGTGTTTTAAAAGATTTTTTCATGAAAATCAAACCCTGTGTATTAAGGCCGTGAAATGTACTGTTTTCAAGATAAATGTTAATTCATATCTATGTGCCAAGGTTATAACTGAATACATATCACACATTTAGGTTTTTAAAAATTAAAATATCACTGATGATTACAAACTACAGATCTATTGAAAAGGTAAATGAAGTAGAATTGTTTCAAGATCCTTTGACCACCTCAGATAGATAATATACAAAGATAATTTTTGTTACTTTTAATACCAACAGTACAGGAATAGTGTAGTCTGGTTGCTGCCTCTGACCAGTTAGTTTAATTGTTTTCTTTTGAATTTCAAGTGGGTTCTTCAAGTCAGTTTTTTGTCCAGATGAAGTCATAAATAAGTAACACACTTCCTGAGATACAGGAAATGGTAATTAAAATTGAAATTCATATCAGAGCATGATACATGATCGAGTGTGAAGACAATGGAAGCAATCTTCATTTCAAATATTTTTACTGGTCATGTAATAATCCAACAAAAAATATCACCAAGCAGCAGGACTTGTTACATTACATTTTATGGTTAATCCTATGAAATGTAATTACGTTGTCCTACAAAGTTTGAAAAATGCACTGTATCACCCAAGATAACACAAACAACTATTTTTGAATAGGACTTTGCATCCAAATATTAGGGATGTTGTGGGAGTGATCATATTTCTGATATATAACTTAAAAAATAATGAACAATAGTGTAATAATTTGCAGTGTTTTTTGTAAGCTTGACATTTGGGAAAAAGCAGTACCTTGGGGGAGGGATAGATAATAGAGGTTTCAGTGTAACCTCTTAAGTAGGACATTTACCAAAATGGACATGGTACAGTCAACATAAGTTCTCCATTGTTTTGTATGGGTTTGGTGATACATACTAGTCTTTCATGATATCGGCAGTTTGGAAATTGTTTATGAAAAATTAATCAATAAATATCACATATAACTTATGAAGGACAACACATACAAGAGGTAATTCTACACTTTTCATATAGCTCCCAGAAATAATTTATATAATTGATAAATGTTAATAAATTGATACTTTTTTGGGATAAACAATATATCAATATTTAATTGTTGCGATTACAAATCTAATATTTCAATTTTAACCCTCATGGGGTCAGAGATGGGTGTAAAGTGGTGGAGGCGTTTTGCTGCTGAGAGAGACATTTGAAAGAATATATTTTTTATTGATATTTTGATGTTTGCATCTCTACTATTATATCGAGGACCGAAATATTGATATATTTTTTTATATTCACGTGCCTAATATAATGAGGCTCATTTACACACTGAGAGTCACTGGCATGATCGAGGGACTTTTGCAACTGGCATTCTGGTTGACTGGTGCTTTACCATTCACATATTGCTAGTAGGATAGAGCAATCTAGGAGTTGCATATTTAATTAATGCGTGTTGTTAGAGAAGTTTCCAAGAAATTCAGTAATTATTCGATAAAATAATTTGTGAAATTTCCAGTAAGTCAATTTTAGAGAAAATATTTTGGTAACATCCCAGAGCGAATACCTGCCACCTGCCTTAAATACTTAATTTCAGTTACATAAAACATTTTATTTTTGGGCTAGATTGTTCATATATACACACCAATTTGTGAGACTGGTTATCTGATTTTGCGGCAAATATGACATAATAAACAAGAAAAAATCATTAACCTATATTCACTAATAAAATAACATACTATTAGTGAGAATGCGTATAGATTAATTAATATCAATATCCACAGCATCAATAGCTAAGCTTATATTAGAAATACTGGCATTGGTGAAGGATATGTTTTAATACTTCAGGAAAATTTGCTTTCAACTAAAATGTATTTCAGCATAAATTGCCATCAGCCTAACAAAAAAGTTATTAAATAATTTCAGGAACTTGCCAGAGCACCAGTAGATCAAAAATATCTGTACTAAACAATGCCAGATAGACAAGTTAAACAATTAATGCCTACATTGAAATATAAAGTTAAACTTAAAAAAGACAATGTTACAAACATTTTATTAACATTTTTCTTCCTATTAATATTATTGTCCTTAGGTAGAGTTGACTGTTTTTTCTTGAGCTCCTCTAAAACACGCACCATTTCCGTTTCTGCAACATCAAAAGCTGTCTGGCCCTTAAAAACACAAATTAAATGAACATTATAAACATTAATCAGCTAAATTCACTAATAGCAAAATCAAATATGAACAAAGTGGTTTATAAGTTTTTTAAATTTTAATAATTTATTTTCCTAATTGTATTCTTAAAAGTATTTACTTCAAAACTCTTTCTGGGCTAATAAAGGCAATTTACTTTCATAAAAAATATTTGTATGTCAATAAGGATGTTTTAATTTGACTTTGAAGAACAAGTTTAAAACGGGAAAAGATTAGTTCAGTGAGTAAGGCACTGTGTCCAGCTGTTTTTACAGAGGTATTTTTTATTGTCATTTAGAGTCTTAGCAAGCAGCAAACTGAGGTTAGCCAAAATTAGCCATGTTTCTACAGTAGGACACTCCTTGATTAAGTGTCTCACTATTAATACTATTTGGCAATGCTGACAGTTAGGTATGATTCTTAGGTCACCAGACAGAAAAAATAAATGAAGCCAAAGAGAAACAAAGTTCTATAAGCTGTTATAACAAAATCTATTACTATTTATCACAAAAACCAAATGCACTGTACTCATCATCCAACACTTACCAACCTACTCAAAAAATAAATAGATATTTTCATAGATAGGTAAATAAATGTAGAAATTATTGACTATCATTCTGCTGTCATGAAATATATTAAACAAGGAGTTATAATAGAAATGAATAACCATTTTTATTGTTGAAGTTATTAACTTTAAGAATCAATTCGTATTGTTTTATCTTTTTCTTCTCTTTTTTATTTTATTTTCATTAGATAAAATTATTGTAACCCATTATTATGAACCATAACAGCAAAAGACGCACTTACGCCACCAAAGTTATGCTAGTAAAATTTCCTGACTTTTCCAGGTATTTTATATCTCTGACAATCATCAAAGTGACCATAATGACTAGAGTCCCAATTAAAAGATCAACCTCTAACATAGGTTCTGCTGAAATCCGTAACTAAATCAGCAGTTAACAATAGAACAAACTCAACATTAATAAATTTACAACTCAGTGGTACAAGGAAACTAAGTATCAATTTAGTTATATTTTGTAAAAATAGGAAGAACTAAAATAAATAATCTAAATAATTTGAAAAAAAAAAAAACAAGAGTTAAATAGAACTATTATAATCCTATAATAATAATTTTAAAAAATCATCTTACAACACAGTTCCTAATATTCATATCACAATGTGCTTCAGCTAAAACTTCAGCAGCTTCCTTCTGCCCCCAGTGTGATGCTGCATGAAGTGGAGTCCAACCATCTAAATCTTGAGCATCAACATCAGCACCAGCCTTGATCAGGATACTACACAACGATTTAAACAGAGATAAAGCTGAAATTGCAAATAAAAATGTATAAACAGTAGAGATGAGCTACTAAAGAGACAAATCCTTTACAGGAAAACAAATGTAGTGATATAGTAGTAGATATCTTAAAGCATGATATCATTTGTCATTTTTTTTAATACTTGGTAATTGCTGTATATTTTCATGCACATTTACTAAAATGTGCACAAAACCAAGCTAAAAACGTCTTCCAAGTAAAGTAAGTATAGCTTCCTCACTGTTTTCATTTGTTATTAAGTTCAATTAAATTTTTATTAACAACTCTAAAAATTTTCTTATGAGAATAAAATCTCTGGAAGGAGCCGTTTTCGGAAATGCAATAGTATTACCTCAACATATAGGGGTTTAAGCAACACATCTACAAGTTTTGCATATCAGCAAATAATAAAATGCGAAAAAGTTCCACATTTGCATATTTGATGATCAGTAATAAAAAGAAAAATTAAAAACAGTGCATACTGAATATGTAAAAATTGAGTTTACAGGAGAGCATAAAAACTAATTATTTCTTTACGATTTATTATGTCAATAGCAGACTACATAATGTCAAAAATAGAATAAAAATTGAAAATTTTTACATACAACCTTAGCACTAACAGTAGTAATATATACTTAATAGCTATGCTTTCACTCTTAAAATGGATGAAACAAAAAATCCATAGGAAAAATTCATAAAAATATGAGTGAAGTTGACACAATTATGATATTTAAGGACAAAATCGAGACCACGACGAGCTGGTTGAACTTCAATGGAATTAAACACTACCACAAATAAGACTTTTTTTTTGCAAATTCAGAATAAAAATTACTTTAAATTACACGAAATCTAATTAACTGCAGTAAGTGTCATACTAGTAACGATTGGAATCAGCCAAACAATAAAGTATTAATTCATTTTTTGATTAAAACCTAAAATTTTATAAACCCATAACAATATTGCAATAACCTAACTCCCACTCCGTATGATCAGTGCCTTCCACATTTCACACAAGAGAATAAAATAGAACGTTTTCCTAACCTACAGTATGCAGGTCCGAATTTTATCTTCGAAATTGTATCTCAATATGATGCTCTGTAAGAGAGGCGAAAAGGAAAATATAGTGTCGAAAACCAACTGATAATGAGTTTTATTGAAGATATGGATTAAAATATCTCAGACTAAAAATCAGATGGATATAATGTAAGATAGATAAATTTTCAGCATTTTATCCTCTTTGTAATGAACTATAAATCAAAATGTATTTAGACGTGACGCAGAAATAGAGAGTCGAAAAGGGAAAAAGATAGAGCCAAAATATCAAATAATGACTGTTTTGAAAATTTAGACTAAAATATCTCAAAATGTAAATACCATGGAAAATTCAGAAAATAATTTGCGGAAGATAATAGAGATAGTTTTTGTAATTAGCCATAAAAATAATAAATCAGAAATTATGTGTTTCTACTTGATTTTTTATAGCACTCAATATAATAGTGTCAACAAATTACTGATCCCCGTTACAGAAGTTATATATAAAAAATCTGGTGATGTGCACGCATCACACAACTTTCACTTACCACCCACTTCTTAGCAGAAATAAGTGTTTTCAGACAAGAGGAAGTGAAAGTAAAAATTGTAGACGCTATATTTATTCATATTTAATTGTGGGTATTTATATTTTTATAAGTACCCTTATATATACAAATTTTAATATTTATATCGCTGTAATCTATACAATTAAATATTAAATAATACCAACAATAACATTTATAAAAACCGCATATGTATATTTATATAATATTGTCGGTGTCCATACAAATATACGTCCACGGAAACGTGTTCTAATCTTTCAGGCGAGCTAAGATGCGTTCACATTCCTTTGGTTTCTCAATTACAACTATTCTCCTTTACGATCTCTTATTTCTCCTTTAGTTAATTATCAAATTGTTTCATATTTTATATTTAACTATCTTTTATATTAGATATTAATGTGAAATGGTCAATTGTTTCAAATAAAAAAAATTTAAAGAGACTTTAAAGGAAGCTAATATTGAAAATTAGCCAGAGAACATCAATCTGAATAAAAACTACATTTTATTTAAAACTACTTAATTTTACACTGATATATTGAATTTAATCAAATTCGTTAGAGGCGAAAAAATCGTAAAAATGTGTTTAGTCCAAGATATAAAGTGCCACTTCCGGTTAGCCGATTATGACTAAAAAGTTACTGTAGCATCCCAGGCACATAAAAACCTTAAATGTGCAATTTCACTTTCATGTAACTTTTCGTTTTTGAGCTAGAATGTTAAAACACGTACACCATTTTACGAGACTAGGTTATTTGGACTCAGGGGACCTCAAAACGTGTATTTCTGTTGAAAACTGAGATTCGAAAATTTTCTCGATCACAATACTTTCCTTTACTATATATTTCATGTATAGGTAAGTAAATGACTGAGTTTTTGTTAGATATTTAGCAAATAGATTTCAATCAAAAGTATTCATTACATATTTTAGTTATAATAAACCTATTGTATAATTTTTAGATTATAATACAAATGACGATCAATCAAAGCAAAGTTTACTAGAGTAATTTATACACAATTATAATTGTATATATTGTAAAAGTTATTACTTCATGAATATGGAACAAAAAATAGTTTATACACAACTATGATTGTATATATTATTAATGTTATTACTTTGTGAATACAGAACAAAAAGAAATTTATATTTCATATTATTAATCTTTCTTTGTTGATGTTTTTTATTTATAATACAAGTTGAACTTTTATTTTTTTTTAAGTTCTTAAAAATAAATTAAGTTAAATGAGAAATAAACAGTAATTGATCTTTAATTAGAAGTAAATAAATTATTGATTTTAACATGTCATTTGATTACATGAAAATAAGTCATTTTTTAGATCAAAGTTTTGGCAAAATTAAGTTTTAAAAACTCAAAGATAACTAAAATCAATAAATTATTAAATCTGGTTGTCGTTTTTGTTAATCAATGCTGTCTGAAAAACATATCTTCAGATTTGGTTACTTAAATATGGACCAAACGAAATATGCAATATTTTTTATATATTATTATGATTTTAGTTCATCCCAGTTCGGGTCACCAAATATATGAGAGCAAATCAAAAAATAAAGGGAAATTTGGATTTCTCTCCAAATACTGAGTATGGGAACACTGATTGTTCTGCTAAAACTCACAATATCTATCAGCACTGTTCATTCAAAGTATTTTTTCATTGTTAGCTACTTGTGATTATGTTTTAAAGTCTGTTCAAAATGAGTTCTATTGCAACAAGGAAGAAATGCGAGGAGTGATACCTTTCCTCAATTTAGAAAGTATGAAACCAGTAGATATGATATTATATGTCGATTAAAGCAGCAATACAGAGAGAATTGTTTGAGAGGAAACAAGATCTACAAATGGACTTATCGTTCTAAAAGTTGTAGGATTTCTATGTATGATGAACAGCTCAACTGAGATGTCTGCAGGAAAAGTTATGACATTGATATTGAGGGATATGAAGGTACAGTTTTGGTTGACTTCGAACCTTAGGTCAATCAATAAATAATGGCAGCCACTGCATTTATTGAAGTCAAAAATCAAATCCAAGAGATGTGTTAAACTTTCAAAAGGCACGATTTTGCTTCAGGATAATGCTCATTATTTTATGCTCAGCCAAAAACACAGTGTGTGCCTTTAAAGTCTTGACTTTCAATAGCTAGACCACCTACCATATAGGCCAGACTAGGCTCCAACCGTTTTTGTATTTTTGGCCTATCAAAAAAGGTATTGCGAGGGAACCATTATCGATTTGATGAAGAGGTTATTAAAGTGGTGAAAATTTTTCTGAAAGCCAGACTAAAAAACCTTCTAGGAAGGAATTAAAATGCTTGTTTTACTTTATTTTGTTGTACTCTGTAGAGCAATTTATAGATGACTGTTATAAATAATAATTTTAATTATTTTTTTAAAATACGATCCTCAAACACAACAGATGTGATCCAAAACACACGCATGGAGGATGGGAGGTCGAAAAATTTGATTTTTTTTATTACATACATGGTGTACAAAATATTTTAAAAAATCATAAATATAGAATCTTTTGCATGTAATAACCCTTTTATTCACTCAACAACTAATACCTCTTTTATTTCCTAGACTACTTGGCACTCGTGGAATGTTTTGGTTGTATAAACTGCAATGATTTATGAAATAATTTTAGATTTAAACTGATTTCATTTACGAGTTGTAAATACCTTTATATCCATAAGTTGACAGGTGAATTGTAGTCAAATATTACTGGTTGATAACAAAATAATGTCTCTGCAGCATGAAATTATAAATTTGAAAATTCAAAATTCTGACATTGAAAATAACAAAAGGATTGTCTTAAAGAAATTGGTTTTCCTCAAAAATACCTAATTTAAAAGTAATTTATAATAATTGAAACATACCTAAAATTTAGAAACTATGAGAAAACTAACAATGTGACAACAAAATCTTACTCCATCACTTTCAGATATCCCTTTGCAGCAGACACATGAAGTGCCAGGGCACCAGTCTTGGGGTGCGGTTTTTCAGATAAATAACCTGAACTCAACCAATTTTTGGCATCAGCTAACATCAGTCTTTCTTCTTCAGTACGAGCATTATCAGCATCAATACCTAAAAATAAATTTTTAAAACTAAAAATATTGATTTAATAAATGATAAAAATAAACTAATTTAGTATGTATTTATATTAATATGTATTGTTGCTTCATAGACACAAAGCTTTTAGCCTGACTTTCCACTGGAATCATGGACAGACTGTCATTTGTATGAACAAGGAACTGTTTGCATATAACCAGGAAAATGTAAACCACTGGAACTGCAATTCAGCTGACAAATCGTTTCCAAAACTAAACATTAAAAGATCTACATTTTTATTTATTCAAATTTTTAACCAGTTATTAAAAACAAGTTTCTTCTTACTATTAATGATAAAATAAAACCAGCACAGACATGTTCTAAAAAAATATGTCTATAAATTAATTTGTCTATAAAAAAGAGGTACAAACAGTTACAACAGGGGTGAAGTATTGCTGATGTTTAAGTCAATTCGAAGTAAAAAAAATTCTTTTACCAATTTTTTTACACAAAACTTTTGACTGAATTGAATGACTGATACTAAGGCTATTTGAACTAATGGATTTTTGTATGGTCTCAGTTCTTTTCACCAAAATAAAATTACAATTAAAAAGTAGTTTTAATTAGTTTTTGATGTTCATCTTGCATTATATATATATAGTGTAGAATTTTTTATTCTTTTTGTATGAACATTGCAATATAAAGTTACTTTATATATATATATATATATATATATATATATATATATATATATATATATATATATATATATATATATATATATATATATATATATATATATATATATATGTATATATATGTATATGTATATATATGTATATATATATATATATATATGTATATATATATATATATATATATATATGTATATATATATATATATATATATATGTATATATATATATATGTATATATATATATATATATATATATATATGTATATATATATATGTATATATATATATATATATATGTATATATATATATATGTATATATATATATATATGTGTATATATATATATATATATATATATATATATATATATATATATATATATATATATATAAAGTAACTTTATATTGCAATGTTCATACAAAAAGAATAAAAAATTCTACCTATATCAGATTGAACTATCAGTTGGCTGACTTAAGCTGAATAAAGAAGGTGTAGTAGATGGGGGATTTCTTGATAGGAGGATCATTCAAGGGAACCCAGCCATTCATGGTTTCACTGGATCAAGGGCCTTATAAAATTGAACTATAAACACAAGGCAAGAAGAGCCTGCCAGCTTGTAGTATTACCTAATTATACTATAACTGCAGCTAAATTGGAACTTCATTATTTCAGCAGGATTCAGTATTGATAAACATGAATAGACTGGAGTAACAGATAATAATAATAATAAGGCTTAGCAGCCCAAATGTTCGATGCTCATTCCACCAATCGCTATATTCATTCTTCAATCCACCGGGGCGCTGTCCAACCTCGCCAGATCAGACTCAACACAATCTTCCCACTTTCACTTTGGTCAACCCCTCGGACACTTCGCACAGCGCATATTACCATTTTAGGAATTCTTTCGTTACTAATCCCAGCGACTTTACATGCCCATTTTATTAGCCTCAATTTAATCATCTCAATTATATTAAACAGGTACAGTTCGCACAATTCAGCATTGTGTAACTGCCTAAATTCTCTAGTTGACTCATCCTTCTTCGGTCTGAATATTCTGTGCAATACTTCAGTTCCAAAAACTTAAAGACGTTCCTCATTATCCTTCCTACAGTTATTTATTTCCGATGCTTATTTGGATTTAGCGAAACAGCCATAGAAATGAGACCTCAGGAGAGTTCTTGGGAAATCACGAAGAGACCATTGGAGAAATGAGAGGATAAGAGAGGAAATGAATATAAGGCCTGTAAAACAAGTCATAGAGGAGTGCCAACTGAAGTGGTTTGGCCATGTATAGCGGATGGGTGACCTAGAGACAGGCTCAGGCTGTTGTATTGCGACTACATGGAGAGACTATAGCGAGCCAGAAGTAGCGTCATGGTTGATGTGGAGAAGGGCCAGTGACAGGGGTCAGTGGACGAGATGGGCCGAGGCTGTTCCTCTACACTGATGGCAGTATGGAGGTGGCAAAAGAAAAAAAAACAAAAAAACAATGCATATATAAATTTTTGTTGTGGTTTGTTTCAATTACAACTTTATAGATTATTAATTTGTATATAGTATAATTGAAGATTAAGTATTGGTTTTGTAATTTTTTTCCCTTTGAGAATTAAAGTTTATTTTATTTTGTTATCTTACAAATCTAAAGTTGAATTACCTTAACTTGTGTTTATAATGTTCATTTTTTTTTTCTCTTTTTAATTGTTATTTTCTTCAATACATATAGAAATAAGAATTAATAATCATTAATTAAATCATAGAAAATATGTAGTTAAGAGTAGAAAATTTATTAAATTAATTCAAGTTACATTTGAAATAATAGTATATGTATACAGTTTTCTTTTTTATGTGTGGTTGTTTTTAGGAACAGGTATATATACTTTCATTAGTAAGTTCTAATAAGGATTAGTAAAACCATGTTTGAAGTATCAGTCAAAACTAATAGAAACAAAGCATGAAGATTCTATGGCTGCGGGGTAATGTAATTAACATATGGTTAAAAATTATAAGGTTCTGAATTTGTAGCTTGCTCCGTTTACTAAACTTTTTTGGGTAATTTAGTACATTCATTAATTTTTTTAATACATAATTATGGTTTTAGCAATATAAGAATACAATAAATAAAATAGTGTGGTGCCTATCAGATAACGATTACAACATAAGATACTCGTTATATTTTTTTGGTGAATTCACCCACCTCCAATGAATGACAGGTAGTTCGTACGACCTAGGTAGTCCTAGGTATCATATAATTTAACTATTTCAGTTAAATAGGTAACTATTTTTATTTTATTTTTTTTTTTTATTTATTTATACATGATATTTACAACTGTATTAAAAAATTAAATACATTAAGTAAATTTGATAACAGAAAATAAAAACATGAAATGACTTGTTGAGAAACTACCCACTGTTAGCACTCTAAAAACAAAATGTATTTACAATAAGAGATCTCGAGGCCATCTTCTTTTCAGACGCCTCGGAGGGATTTTTAAATTTAAGATCACAAAGAAATAAGAAATAATTTGGTTGTAAAAATTAGCTAGAAAACAACAGTTAATAACTAGATTAGCTACATATTTATCACAGATAATTTAGCAACTTAATCGCTGTTTAGCTTTACCTTAGCTAACCGTATACTCTGTTTAGGAGGTGAATTTTTTTTTTTAAATTATGTCATTGTCTACTGATTTCTTTTAACTTCACAGGTCCTTATAATTCTATTGTAATTGGATCACAATCCTGCCTTTTTAATAAAACCTATATAAAATCACAAATACTACAACTCCAAATTTCTACCAAACATATTACATCATCACCAATACTAATCATTACAATATATTAATCAAATTACAGTTATTGTGAGTGAAGCTTAGGCTGGGAGATTATGCTCACACCTTGTCAAATATACTATTTTGAATTTTCAAAAACATTTTGATTTGTTATAAATTGCTTTAATCACATGCACTAATTCCTAAGTTGACACTTTTATCAATAATAACTAATGCCTTAATGTCAGTTGATAATTCAGTAGTTTCATAAGTGAAAAATCAAGAAATTTAAGAAAAATTAATAATCCTACTATAACTCTCAAACAATTTCTTAAAATAATATAATATTTACCCATTTCTTCAATTTGTTGTTGAAGCATATCTTCCATCTCATCCGATTCTGCAACATCAACAGGCAGTTCACCATCATTATTAACTGCTGCGACATTAGCTCCTTTTTCAATCAGGTACCTAAAATTATTTTAGTTTGAGCTCTATAAAAAAAGAAAAATACAGCAAGCACAGAGTTTAATGCAAATTCTGAAAATACTTTAGTTTAAAACAGAATTTTAGTGTGATCAGTCGGAAAATAAAGAAATTAGCAGTATGACATGGTTCTAATTACTGACAACTTTTCAAAGTAATTGGTTTGAGAAGGTTCTAACTGCAAAACGCAACAGGGTACTTCATTTATAGTTATTTTAGTTTTAGTTAGCGTTAAACATGAAATTATATCTATCTCTCTATTATATAAAAAGTTGTTAGTGACTTTCATATTTTATTTTATTGTAGTATTATGAGAGTAGAAGCTCTCCTATTAGCTCTCTAATTAGCACTAATTACACAGGTATTCATTTAATTACATATCTGTTGTGTTCCTGTAACCTCTTACTATCCTATTACAAAACTGAGATATACACCCTGTTTCCTATGTGTTTCCTACCTTGATACTCTCCTACTGTCCTAATATAAAATAAAGATTTTAGAACATAACTTTTGACAGAAAATAGTCTTCATCTGGAGGTGGTAGTTTGATTTTATTTAAGGGACAGCAGTAATTTTTCAATCTAGACATTTTCACTTGAATACAATATATTAATTATTGTATTATTATTTACATTATATTGTGATATAATTATAATTATTATGCAATAGAAAAGGAAGCACCGTACAATGAAAATATTAGAAATGAAAGGCTCAAATTGACGTCGGGCTTATATGAAGCTGGAAAAGTTGAATATATATTATGAATACAAATTGGCAATAAGGCTTGATGTTGATATTTGATTTTTTTTTTAAATAAAAAATTTGTCCGAACTATGGTTTTATTCAGTTTATTTTATATGAATAAAAAAGCGCGCAACACACAACTTTTACTTACCGCTCAACTTTGAATAGAAATTATTTTCTGGCCATGTTGGGCTATTATAATTTTTTTTTAATTGCTGTTTTAACTGAGCTAAAGCTAAAAGCTTTCATATAACAAACAATAAATACCATTAAAATAACAAAAGTCCTATTTATTATATCACCAATTAATTATGAGTTGTACGATCCATTGATTATGGATTGTATGACTATTAGTTGTTAAACAGTTATTTTCCATTGCAAAATTTGCTAAAATTGAATTCAGAGATTTACATTGTCTGTCATAGACAGGTCAAAAGTTGTCACACTAATTGGAAGTGGATACTGTTGGAATATCACAAAGGGAAAATTCAAATTATTCACTAATTTAATTTTCTAAAAGATTACATGATAATTTTTCGGAATAAACGGATAACAGATATCAAATTATTTAAATATAATATCAGATCTAGAGTTATTCGAGAACCCTAACAAGACAGTAAATATATTTAAGGTTATAAACATATCCATAAAATATTTTTATATTTCACTTCTTATTTCACACAAGTACAGTGAAATAGTATCTTAAACAGTGTCATTGTCTTGAATCCGTAGATTTTAAATACTTTTTCAAACTAAAAAAAAAAGTTAAAAGTTTACATTTAGAAAGAAAATTTCATTTACCTTCCTTGAAAACACGTGATTTACTTTAAATAATGTTAGTTTTTAGAAATTATTATTTATATTTTTTTAACCACTCTCCCTTACCCTCTACAATTTTCTATTTTAGATTTTGTTTTGTTTTTTCAATTCTCCATTTTCCAACAATATATTATACGTATGCCTTCTGGCTATTATATCCGAACTAGATATGTATTTTTCTTTTTTTCTCTTTTATTCAATTATCAAATTCCTTCAAAAGTTATATTGAGCATGTTTTTATAACTCTTAACAATGAGAAATAGTTATTATTTATAATAAACCAAATTAAAGGTACTTTAGAGGAAGACATGATAATGTTGTAATTTCACAAAGGGAAAATTCACCAAATTATTCACTAATTTAATTTTTTTGAAAGTAACATAACAATTTTTTGAAATAAACGGATGTTGATACCTAATTATTTAAATGTAATTTCAGATCTAGAATTATTAAACTACAGTAAATGTATTTAAGGTTATAAACATATGCTTTATACATCCATGAAATGATTTTATATTTCACTTCTGCACAATGAGATAGTTTTTTAATTTTAAACAATGTCATTGCTTTGATTAGATGGATTTTAAATAATTTTTCAAACTTAAAAACTATTTTAAAAGTTTACATTTAGTTAGTAAATTTTATTTAATTTCTTTGAAAACATATGATTTATGTTAAATAATATTAGTTTTCAAAAATTATTATTTATAATTTTTTGCTACTCTCCATTACCTTCAACAACTTTCTGTATTAGATATTGTTTTTGCTTTTTTTCGTAACTCTAAATAATGTGAGATGATTAATTATTTAAAATAAACCATATTAAAGGTACTTTAGGTACTTTAGGAAGACGTATATGAACATTGGGCTTAAATGATTTTTAAATATGGCATTTAAACCCTGTAAAGTGACATCAATGGGGATAAGAACTAATTGATATTAAAGACCATTTAATTATACAATGATACACCAAGTTTAATCAAAATCGTTTGAGCCGTTTTTGAGAAAATTGTAAAAATGTGTTTCAGCATTGATATAAAGTGGCACTTGCGGTTAGCCGATTTTAACGAAAAAGTTGCTGTCACATCTAAGGCATATACCTATCTTAAATACGTAATATCAGTTTCTCACTAGACTGTTAACACACAGACCATTTTGCGAGACTTCGTTATTTGGACTCAGGAGACCTCAAAACATGTATTTCCGTTGAAAACTCAGATTCGAAAATTTTCACGATTACAATACTTATCCTTACTATTTATTTCATATATAGGTAAGTGAAAATATAAAATAATACCATCTCAACTACAGAATACATATAAGTTACAGTTGTACAATATAAGCAACGAGTAGTACAATTAAATGAACAGCAGTATAATTTGTAAAATAAAGGTTGGTCCGCCGTTAGGCGGACAGGGTGTACCCACCTAGTCATTTATATTAATAGTAAAGATATGTATTTTGTATGCAGTTGATTATTGATTATTTCAGAGGCGACATATGTGATATTTTTATAATTTTTAGAAAAACTGGGAAAATCTATATTGTACTAAAATTCTAGAACAGGAGTTTCCAAACTTTTTGGACTGTGGACCATATTAACACTTCCAGTAAGTCCTTCCTGCGGGACTTGTGCATGATGACATAACAAATATATCAATATTTAATAATATTTAAAGTATAAGATTGATGTAACTGTTACATCCCCATAGAAACATCGGTTTTCAGTAAAAATAATTTAGACATAAGTATATTGATTTTTCATTTGAAATTCTTCTGGTCATAGTAAATGAAAACTTGTTAGACTTTTTTTGTCATGAACCTAAGCTGTTGAGGCACAAAATAAGAATTGAGAGATAATTATTATGGGTGACTTCAACTCAAGGCCAGGAAATGATTTCCGCCGATCTCATGGAGTGATGGGAACACGGATGCGAGGAAGCCAAAAATACCAATGGTCAGAGGCTGATAGATTTTTGCGTTGACTTCGACCTACTGATTGGGAACTCTCTATTTCCCTATAAGAAAGTCCATAAATCACTTTGTGTCCAAGAAAAGAACGTTAACAGCGTTATAGATTACTTACTCTACAGCAGAAATATCAGAAAATTCTTCTCAGATGTAAAAGTCATCAGAGGAGTGGAAATCGCCTCAGACCATATGATGCTCATGGCTGATATACAAATTTTGAGCCAATGGAAAATACCATAAAGACAATATACAAGAATTGATATTTTACAGCTCCAGAATCCACAATTTCAAGAAAGGTATAGGTATGCAGCAGAACTGGAAGCAGAACTGCGAAAAATTAACCTTGATGCACCGGTAGATGAGATGTGGAAAAATATTAAAGATAAATCCTGAAAGTCAGAAAAATGGTATGTGGCAAAAAGAAATATTCTTTCAAGGTGAAAAGATCAGAATGGTGTAGTGAAAGGGTGAAGGCAGCTGTACAAAGAAAGAAAATTGTGGAGAAGAGTTATTTAAACAGTAAAGACATTCAAACCTGGGAAAAATTCGGAAAGTCTACAAAGTGAATATAATGAAAACATAAAGATTTTATGGAAAAAGATAAAAACCCTGAAAGGCAAGAAGTGTAAACCCATAAGGAACGTGAAAAATAGTGCAGGAATAGTTCTGACCAGGGAAAACAATATCCTGGACAGATGGAGAGAGCATTATGCACAGATGTTCAAAGATTCTCAAGGTCAAGAAAATGAGAGGATAGAAAGTAGAACAGAGAGAAATACAGAATATGACAGCACCATATGGGAGGAAGAAGTGATGCAGGCTATAGAGAAATTCAAGACAGGAAAATCAGCCGGAGGAGATGGTGTTTTCCCGGAGCTTATTAAATATGGAGGCAATGGAATAATCAAAGTTCTACAGGGTCTATTTCAGAAAATATATGACGAGAAAAGCATCCATAAAGACTGGGAATATAATGTCATTATCCCAATACATAAGAAAGGAAGCCAAAGCGATTGTAACAACTATAGACCAATATGCTTATCCCAGGTGGTCCATAAGTTATATACATCAGTCCTCGAGAGGAGGATCAGAGGTGTAGTAGAAAAGAACCTTGAAGAAGAGCAAGGACCTTTTAGACAGACCAAATATTTTCACTGAGGACCATCATAGAAAAGGCTTGGGATAGAGAAAAAAAAAGTGTATTTAGCTTTTATAGATCTGCAAGCCACTTTTGATTCAGTCCCAAGAGTCGAAATATGGAATGCATTGAAGACAAAGAACGTCCCTTCAGAACTTCAGAAACCATAAAATCTTTGTATAGGGCTCAAAGGGTAAAGTCAGGATGAATAAAAAGGAGTCTGGGAGCTTTGATATGAAGAGAGATGTCAAACAGGGAGATAGTCTAAGCCCTCTTCTCTTTATTATTCTGATGGAGGAAGTATTGAAAATATATAAAAGGACAACACGAACAGTAGTAGGGAAATGGAACTTGAGAAAAGTTCTTGCTCAGACACTTCTCTATGCTGATGATATAGTGCTCATAGCAGACTCCGTTCAGAATCTTCAGCAAGCTGTAGTGGAATGGGAAGCGGAGCTGGAGAGAAAAGGCATGATTATAAATACAATTTAAAAAAAAAGTTGTGCAAATTGGATGAGAACCTGAAGATGTGCAGATTACTTGTAGAGGAGAAATCATAGAGGCAGCAGAAAATTACACGTATAAAATTCAACAAGCAATATCTAATAGGATTAAAAGAGCAAACAACATTTATTTCCAAACCTTCAATACTGTTGTTGGGAAATGTGAAGTTGAGAAAAAAGTAAAACTTCATATTTTTAATTTTATTTACCTTCCCACCCTACTATAATAAAAGTGAGAGCTGGATCCTTCTTGACAGATTGGGGAACAGAATCACCACTTATTAAAGGGAAATGTAGGGAACATTTCAGGTACCAGAATAAGAAAGGAGCTAGGGGTGAAACCACTAACCGAAATTCTTGAGAACAGGCAGTTGAAGTAGTTCAGGCATATATATGACGAATGGATGAAGACCGTGGACCACGCAAATTTCTCGAACCTAGACCAACTGGCAAAAGACCAAGAGGCAGGCCAAGGATGTCGTGGATAAACAGAAAAGTGTCAAAAAGTTCAATCAAAACGGAAAATATAACATTGGTTAGTGTTTGAAATTTATATAAATAAATTTGCTTTGAAAAACATGAAAAAACAAAACAAATTTCCTTCTCACTTAACTCAATATATCATAATGTCCTTTATGGGACCATTGGCTTTTAAGAGCCGGTTTTCTTCTGAACTAGTGATCCGTTAAAATTATGACAAACCTCCAAACAATAAATCTTATTAACAATATTATTAATGTGAGAAAAACAATAAAGTAAAGATAACAACTAGATATTGTTTATTGACATTATTTACAAAGATATAAAAACAGATTTAGATGTAGAAATCATGTAGCAACCATTTAAAGTTTTCATTCACAGACTGATTGGAAATTTTAAAAAAATCTATAAAAGCGATTCTTTCAAATATATTTTTTTTAAACTCACAGTGTAGGAACAAAATTTAAATTCAGTAAATGATCTTAAAACTAAATTGTTAGAATACTGGGAGAAAATAATTATCCAATTGACCGCAATGTTGAACCCATGAATGTCAATAAGATTGAAATGGTACTAAAAAAAAAAAAAAAAAAATTACTGCTTTTAAAATATTAATTTAAAACTCCTCACTTACATAAATTGGTATTTGATAAATATGTGTGAAAACAATTTAAGAACGAGTTGACTTATCTCAGTAAAATTTCAAATTTTTTCTGAGCCCTGCTAATTGTACAGCTGTGACGAATTTCAAGAAAATCTGAGATGGTGAGGTTTAGACCTTGTGTTGAATTGGCATAGAATGATCCTACTAATTCCTGACTATCTTGTATTTCCCATCATCTAAGAACTTCATGGGTGTTTCAACACTTTAATTGAAATTTATCTTTATAAATGACATAGCAAAAATAATACTTGAGACCATGGTTTCAAGTTACTATTAATTAAATACTCTTGGCAAACATATCACATTTTCATATATTTCCTTTTATTTAAAAAAAAAAAAAAATCATGCAAGGATTACTATATTAAACCAATGATCAGCTTATTTAGTAATAAATTTCATGACTGGCGTAGTAAGGAAATTAAAATGAATTCATTGAATGTATACAAAGGAATGTTAGACATTAAAACTGACCTGGCAATAGAAAGGAACCCACAAGAAGCAGTGGCATGGAGTGGAGTCCACCCTTCATTGTCACCTTTATTGACGTCAGCACCATTTTCCACAAGGAATTCCACCAACTCCAAATTGTCATCAATACAGGCCTGTAATCAATAAACCCCAGATAAGTTAATGTCATAAAAAAATGTATGTAAACCTAATGCTAACATCAAAATTTAAATTTTTGAACAAATAATTTTGATACCAAACTATAATATAATATAAGAATATTGATAAGTTCAGAATTAATAATAAATACCAGTAATGTACATAAGTATTTACTATTTTAATAAATGAAATCAATATCATCCTTGTATCAGATATAACTTTACCAATAACACAAGTATTAACATGTCACTAATATTTTAAATATATTAGCTCAGAAAAATGTCAATGACTTATGCTATTCATATTCCATTTCATTTAGACACTAATGCGTTGAAAATATTAAAATCACTTTTATGTCATATGTTGCCAAGTGTAAAAAGCAGGCATTAAAATGTCAACATTTTGATAACAATGTTACAGGTAATATTTTGCAGTAAACCCACCTTAACTTGAACTAATATTATGTCACTGCTCTTTCAACAGAGGGAGAAAAAAAAGTAAATTTTATTCTGTGGCACTTAGCCCCCTTAATATAATTAAAACAAGATATTACAGATTTTACTGTTAAGAAGAATATAAATTTATTTTTTCTAAAAGGGTTTATTTATATTTTAACATTGTACATAGTTTTAAGTATCTTAGTATGGTTTCAAGAGTTTTTTATATAGATTTTTTTATTTTATTTTGTATATAGTATGTATAACCAATATTTTTTTCTTTTCTTTTCTTTAATGACCTATCATTATCTTAATTTGTTATGTTTGTTTTTATCTGGCCAGATGTAAAATTTTAATTTCTGTACTTTTTTGTTATTCTGAAGGGACTTCGTCCCAGAATAAAATTATTTTTCTATTCTATTTTATTCTATAATTTACATTTGTTTGGCACAAAATGATAGTCAAGAAATAATAACACTACAGGGATCCCATAAATGTTTTGAAACAATTTGACCTAAAAGCACTGACCTATAATTGAATAAAATGTATTTAATCAGTTTGCTGAATGGTATGTTATAAATTTTTGAGTGGATGGCTGGATCAATTTTTATGTTTAATGGTCTTAAATTTTCCATTGAGATCCCGTGAGTTTTTACAAACAATTTGGGCTCAAAGGACTGAGAAATCATTGTATGAAATGTTCGTAATCTATCTGTTAAAATGTATGTAACGACTTATTAAATGAACGGCTAGACTAAGTTTTAAATTAAATGGTTTAAATGACTCAGTGAGATCTCGTGAATGTTTTGAAACAATTTGAGATAAAAACAGTGCTAAAAAAAATTGGTCTTACATATAATATGATATGAAACCAATAAAAATTTGAGAATACTTATTGTTTCAAAACACTCATGGGATCTCACCAAATAATTTAAGCCATCGAACTTAAAAATCGATCCAGCTGTTTGCTAAAAAATTGTTACATGCCTTTTAGCAGACAACCTAAACACATAACCCTCCTGTCACTTTGCATAGTAGGGTAATTATGATTATTTTTCTCTAGGGTTTAAAGAGCTTATAAATCTTTAGCCGTCTTAACTAGCCTTGTGGCAGTGATGGCTAGTGCTTTTCAGTTATCTCCTTGCAGCTCTACAGCATCAGTATTAATTTGATCTATCCATCACGTATAAACCATAAGGCCACTGATAAACCCACATCCACATGGTTTCTTGCTAACTACTGAGGCATGCATTGTTGTGTAGAAGCTTTCTGATGGATTCCTGATTCACGCTCATTTCTTTTCTTCATATCATAAGATAATAATCGACCAGATTTTGTAAGCAGTTCTTCATTGGTCATTTTTCTCCATGTGTTAGTACTCTGATCTTAGACTGTTCCACTTATTGTGCACAAGATTTATCTCTCAAATCTTTCAATACTTTTTTCTAGGGTGCTGGTTAGTGTCTAGGTCTCAAAGCCAGGTATTAGGACTGGCTTTATTATAGCATTGCACACCCTTAATTTGAGATTTCTTGAGATTTTTCGGGATTGCAATACTTTAGAAATAGAGAGAAAAGCTCTGTTTGTGCTCGTTATTCACTAGTTTATTTCAGCATTGATAAGAACCCATCTCCTTAATACAAACTAGTTCAAACTTTGAAGGATGAATACTTCTTGTATTAGAATAAGGTATTTAGAAGCATTTATTTACAGGCCTTCATCAATTACACCTACTTCCTAGAAACTCTCAACTCAGTCATGATCTTCCAAATGCAGTTTATGCCCAATATATCATAGACTATTTTTAAATTGATAAATAAGGTGTGCACATCATATCACTAATTCCATCATTTGGAGCAGTTGCTTCAAGATAAAAATGTGGTCTAGAGTACTCCTTCCTCTTTTGAATCCAGCATGGTTCTCACCTACTGTATGTTATTAATGGATACATAATAGGCCCATGTCGTCTTGTAGGCAAGAGGAAGAAGTGCTATCCCTCTGCACAGTGGTGCCCAGAAGGGAGTTTCATGACGCAAAGTGCAACATCAAAATATTTGAGGAGGACATATTTTAAGGTTTTTGAATTTTTGAGGGAGGGCAAATTTCGACAGGGTTATGAATTTTTGGACTAAGGGATAAGGGTAAAATCATAAAACATACCGCAGCATGTGTAACTGTATATGATCCACGATTTTTCTTGTTCTACCTTAGCTTGCATGTTTTTAAGAAAAGTGAGCAATAAAATACCTTGGAAGGAGAGGGAAGAAGGTTCTTGCGCCATCGAACTTGTGGGGGATGGGCACCTCTGCCTCTGCAATTAAAACACTCATAAATGGAGCACAATTTGGGATACAAAAAATTAGACCCGTAGTAATTCTTTTGAGAATATTTTGAATTATTTAGTTTCAAAGGCTGAAAGTAAGCTTCTGTAACACAAAATCACTTTCTAACTTCAGAAACAACAGCATCCCTAGATTATCAGTAAGTGGGGTTACGAACAATCACTGGTCCATTGCCATGCAAAGCCATCTAAACGTTTAATTATTTACCACAATATATAAAATTAGTTGGCCAGTACGAATAATTCGAGTAGAATATTTGTCAGTGACAAAATGAAAAACTAGTAGGCAAAAAAACAATGCAATGCATTTTATTTGCCTGGTAATTCTAATTAACCAAGGAAAAGAAAAATATTTTAAAATTTCATTCATGTTTTAAACCAACATGTTAACAAATTCCAGTAGGCTGTATCTATGCTAATAATAATATGATTTCAATGATTTGTTCTCGTTTTTTTTTTATTTGTAGGGAATTTAATAATCTTTCAAATAATCATGGGCGAAATTAGCAAAAAAAAAAATAATAAAAACTTTTGGAATTATTCACAAATGAAGTTTCTTTTCATTCTTAACTTTGTTTCTTGAAATTTCGGAGGGATGCGACTATTTTCCCACCTGAAGAAGAAAATCTTCTAAATGAAGGCTCAATCATTGGATTTGATGAAGAATTGACGAATTATGGTGTGCTTGGGGTGGCTGAGTGCGCTAACAGGGGTGCAAAATAGGCGTTGCCCGACAACCCAATAAATAGAAAATTAGGAGTTCAAATCGCAGTGCCCACAAGGGGAGTTTTAACTCATATTGATCCTCCCCATATTGATCCTTTTAACTCATATTGATCCCCCCTACACCCAGAACCCGTAAAAACCCCGTATAGAAAAGGTGAGGAAAGGGAGAAAAAAAAATTACGGTGTACTGACCAAAAAAAAGCTTAGAGAATATATTAAATTATTATAATTAAAGATTACATTATTATAATCTGGCGTTACACAGCCTATATTCTGAGATTTTTTTTTTAAACAATCTATGTTCAAATGTGAACAACATTTTTAAATGACTCATAAATTATACATTCTGTTTGTAACGTTATTTGAGAATTGCTAATCATTTATATCACTTTACATTATTTAGATTAAATAATACGATTCAATTAAATTTAATATTTAATTAAACGTAAAGATTCCTTAAAATTCTAAAATCATTTTTTACTTTCACTTACCTATATCCCTTATTGTGTAATATACAATAAGGGAAAGTATTGCGATCGTGAAAATTTCCGAATCTGAGTTTTCAACGGAAATACACCTTTTGAGGTACCTTGGGTCCAAATAAACAAGTCCCGCAAAATGGTCTGTGTGGCTGTATGTCACCAGTCTAGCTCAAAAACGAAAAGCCATACGAAACTGATATTACGTATTTAAGAAGGTATATGCCTTAGATGTGACAGCAACTTTTTCCTTAAAATCGGCTAACCGGAAGTGCCACTATATATCAACGCTGAAACACATTTTTACGATTTTCTCAAAAATGGCTCTAATGACTTTGATTAAACTCGGTGTATCATTGTATAATTAAGTAGTCTTTAATATCAATTAGGTCTTATCTCCATTAATGTCACTTTACAGGGGTCAAGTGCCTTATGTTCAACATGTCTTCCTTTTAAGTACCTTTAATTTGATTTATTTTAAATAATTAACCATCTCTCATTGTTAGGAGTTACGAAAAAAAGCTAAATATAACTTTTGAAAGAATTTGATGATTGAATAAAGGAGAAAAAAATATAAATTCTTATACAGGTCGAAAATGAATCTCTGGAAATAATAGTCAGAAGGTAACGGAGAGTGACGAAAAAATTATAACTAATAATTTTTGAAAAATAATATTATTTAACGTTAATCACATGTTTTCAAGGAAATTAATGAAATTTACTAACTAAATTTTTTTTTTTTTTTTCCTACGCCTAAGTAACTCCTGCTTGATCAGCCATGCGTGCTCTTGCAGCCCAATATAACTTTGCTCTCCTAGCATAAGGGCTGTTCATTTCACTAAAGGAACATATTATGGCTTTCAATGCAGGGCATGTATCAAGATGATCTCCTGTCATCATATCCAAGGAACACAGATGGCATGGCATGTCGGGCTATATTTTATACCGATGCGATGGAGGTGCTTCTGAAGAAAATCATGCTCTGTGAGCATTCTAAAGCATGCTTGCCCTCT